GCGATCCCAGGACAACAAAGACGAGGAGCGGGCATGGAGTTATTCACGCAGGAAGGAAGCTCATTAGTAACACCCCCCAGGGGGCGGGCGACCCCTCTCCCCAGTCCATGAAGGTGGTGGGGGGGGGCGTTTCTCCAACACCGACTAGCCACTGTATCCGCCCCGCGCCCGTTACTGAGCACGGGAAGGTGGCGCCCAAGGCCCCTCTCTCCCCGCCAGGCCCCCGCGCTCACCGTGGTGGTCGTAGACACTGACGTAGGAGATGCCCACCGCCATGCACCACACCACCAGGCTGGCCATGTCCGCGTAGCTCGGCTCCTCCTCGGTCACCACCAGCCCCATGTGCACCGGCAGCTTCTCCAGGGACCGCCCGTCCCAGCGCCCCCGCCCGCGCCCGCCAGGCACTCGCCGCGCCGCGCCGGGCTTGTGGAAGGCGAAGGCCCCGGCGGCGGGCGCCAGGAGCGCGCAGGAGGCGGCGGCAGAGGCCGCGCGGCGCCACCAGCGCCAGAGCCACGAGCGGGGGCCTCCCCGCAGCCGCCCGCGGAGCCACGAGAGCAGCGCGCGCAGCAGGCAGAGCAGGGCGTGCAGCAGGCGCCACACCAGCTCGCACGCGCCGCTCATGGAGAGGAGGGAGCGCGAGGCCGGGGCACCAGCTGAGAGGGGCGGGTGCGCGGGACGGCTAGAGGGCGCGAGGGATCCTCAGCCACAGCGCGCGCCACGCACCATCATCCCCACCCACGCCTTGCCTAGCCCGGCCACTGTCCTGCTCCTCACTGACACCGCTTCATCTGCTCAGCCGCCACCGCTTGCGCTGCCATCTTTGTACTTCGCCTGTCCTTTGACCCCGACGCCGCCGAGCTCCTATTGGCTGAAATCCTAGCGGCTGCGTCACTTCCTCGGTTGTGGTGAGAATGACGTGGCCAGCAGGAAAGGCCTGCTCTTGATGGTCCGGGTGGTGTTGTTGCCGGGCGCGCACAGGGGCTGGAGGCAGAGACCTGGGCACAGCGGCCCCTCGAGGCGCGGCGCTGCGTTTTGTGCCGGGTGCGCTGGGACCCCGCGGGGCCAAGTACTTTAGCTTTACACAGAGCCTGCGACAGGCTCGGCAAGTTGCATAATAGCCCCACCCCCACCATTGCCTCCAGCGTGTCTAGCACCTCTCTGCAAAGCGTCAGACGCCTCTTCAAATCACCCCTCCCAACTCCAGGCGAAGGCGGGGAGCTGAACCTGGGGCGCTTAGGCGAGTGCTCTAATCACTCGGTTAAAGCGCAGGATGCAGCACTTTTCTCCCCACACTCTTTTGGTGGGTGTGGCAATGGCAGCTGCTTAATTCATTGGCACAAGAAACTTCTTAGGTGTCTCAGCTGCTTGATGCCTGAAGTGGGGCTCCCAGTTGTGGGTCACTATGAGCCTTGGCTCAGGCACCTAACTCCATGAGTAGCAACAGAGGGTCCTGTGGCACCTTTAAGACTAACAGAAGTATTGGAGCATAAGCTTTTGTGGGTGAATGCCCCCACAAAAGTTTATGCTCCAATACTTCTGTTAGTCTTAAAGGTGCCACAGGACCCTCTGTTGCTTTTTACAGATTCAGACTAACACGGCTACCCCTCTGATACTTAACTCCATGAGGGGAGCAAAGCTTAAGGGACACCCTTTCGTGGCTCCCAGTCTAGTATGTTGACTTTTGGGGCTCACATTCCAAGTGATTTTTTTTAGGTGCCTAAAAGTTAGGTGTTGGAGTGCTGAGCATTGCAATGCATAAGCCCCTTTGTGGATCCAGGCTGAAAGATTTTGTTTCTTTGATGAAAATGTCACATTTTGTGTGTCAGTTTTTGGAGAAGCCATGATACCCTCCCAAGCCCCCAATTTATTGAAAGCAAGATTTGTAAAGTCAGCCTCTCCCACCCCTTCTCTGCTGCTTCTTTTTTTTCTTCATTTAATTCTTAAATAATGTACAGTACACTTCATTGGTTACATGCGAACTTCAGCAATTCCATCAGTTCTTAGCTAGTGTGGGCTAGAAGCAAGGACACTGGAGTGGTACATAAGAGATCTGGGTTCTGTTCTAGCTGACCAGAGCCAGGGTAACTTCAGACAAGTCACATCCCCTTGTTGTGGCTCAGTTTCCTCATCTGTAAAATGGGGATAATGATACTGACCTCCTTTGAAAAGCACTTTGAGAGCACATTGTAAAAGCAAGGTATTACTATTTAAATATTTCAGTAGCTATGCCAACATGTGCTTATGCAATTATCCCAATGCTCACTGAGGGTTAAAAATGCATCAAAAGGGCTCCTTTTTAAAAATAGTAAAAACTTGTGCCTGCTGATTTATGTCCATCATGCATGTTTTCCCCTTCGAATCTTGTCCCAGGAAGCCTGTGTACAGGATTGACAGTGAAAGTGTCTCAACTTAGACAGTGGGGAAGAAGTGTATTAAACGAGTCATGGAAAAAGTGATACGCTGGGAAGAGCTTTTAAAATTATTTTTAAACAAGTAATTTTATGGCCTCTCCTAGTGTGGCATTTTTAAATTGTAGGAAATTGAACATAGTAAAACAATTGGGCAACAAAACATTAATATTTATATGTATTTCATCTTTAAAATGTGTTGCAATATTAGTAATTAATCTTATAACATCCTTGTAAATAGGTCAGTATCCCCACTTTACAGAGGAAAAACTGAGGCAGAGTAATTTCCCCCAAGACCATTGAGTCAGTGTTAGAGGTGTGATTATTAGAACTCAGAAGCTTCTCATTCTCAGGCTTGTGTTCAGTGAGGCCCTGATCTACAAAGGTACTTAGGTGCCTAACCCCAGATTTAGGCACCACTGCAATCCACAAAACTCCTGCTCGACTGCTGCCTAATCCTGTACGTGTCTAAACTCACTCTGTGTCTATATTTTCAGGATAAAAGTTCCCTTGGTGCCTAAATTCCTGCCTCTGGCCATGTGCACTACTGTGTCACTCAAGGCACCACCTGGATGCTTCTCTCCCAAGTAAACATGTAAGAATGATCCTCAAACCAAAAGAAGGTAGGCAGAGGAGCGTCTATCTTGCATGTGGGGCTTGATCCAGTAGGCATGCTCAGAAACTGTGTACCAGATCAGCTCTGATTCAAAATTTGGCTTGTGGGGCTGGCAGCACCCACCTTATAACTTTAAGGCCAGATTCAATTCCCATCTCTTTCTGAGGGGGGAGAAAAGATTTGAATAGCAGTCTCTGGAGAGGGCTTCAGTGGAACTGTTTCAACAGGAGACTAAGGCTAACAGATTCCCCCATCAGAATACCTGATAGCTCAGTTCCTTGAAATGTGGGAGACTCCTGTTCAAATCCTTTTTCCTCATCATGCAGACAGGAGTATAAGTGAACTTGGGTCTCCCACAGCCTAGCTTAGTGTGCTAGCCGCTTGGCTAAAATTTATACAGTAGGCTGCTCCTCTTCCTCCTGTAGCTGTTTTGAGTGAGGCAGACATCTAACTCTAGGGTTACCATATGTCCGGATTATCCCGGACATGTCCGGATTTTGGGGTTTTAAATAGCCGTCCGGGAAGACTGTAAAAATCTAAAAAGATCCAGGATTTCCCTCCCAATGCAGAGCGTGGCGCGGCTGATAGAGTGGCCAGGCCGGATTGAGCCACTCACATCGAGGCCTCCAGCAGCCAGAGCCCCTCCCCTGCAGCCTCAGCGTGCAGCGCTGGCAGCGCTCTGGGGGGGGGGGGCCTGTGGGCTCCACGGGGGAGCGCGGCAGCGTGTCTGGTTCCGTGTGGAGCCAGACACGCTGGTCTGAGCAGCACGGTAAGGAGGGTTGGGGAAGGGGCAGGCGGTCCCACGGGTCAGTCAGGGGACAGGGAGCAGGGGGGTTGGATGTGTCGGGGGGCCTGTCAGGGGGCAGGGGTGTGGAGAGGGGTCAAGGCAGTGAGGGAGCAG